AAAATTGCGCCTCTGTAACAATAATCTAATCAACATTATTTTCACATACTTAAGACAAAAATGGTATTTAAACCATAGTATCTTCTGAAAAGTAGAGATGTTTGCACATTTCAACATAATAAAAAGACCAAAAATGACCCAAAACGTGGAGAAAAATATGTTTAGCACGGTGTCCGAAAAAGAGTATGTACAAAAGCTTTGCTTACGCCAAAGGGAGATTCATCAATCAATTGTACTGTCATCTCATCAGACAATTCTAATCGAGAGGATCTTGAGCAATTGCAGTATCTAGCGCGCCGCGATTATTATTAACACTTGCAATGAAGAGTTCAGTTTCGGATCCCTGTGGATTCGGGACACCACAAAACGGACAAGCAGGACGGAAATGACGTTGTGAATCGGAGTTGAGAGTAAGATGTTTAGTTGTGGAAGCTGGCTCTTCATTGGACTTATCAAGGGAGTTAGACCAAGTCAACGTCGCGGTTAAATTAGGAGAAAGAGTGGGCTCTCGTGTTAGACAGGTCAGATGAAAAGCATGCGAACATCTATAAGGAAAGAAATGAATAAGTAAGATATAACAAAAGGAAAAGGATTAAGTATGAAAAAAGATTAAGTCGGTAGAAATAAAATTATCTAAGGACCAAATATTATGAAAAAAGGAGGGTTAATAATTGTCACATGTGTAATTATAACAAGAATAAAGCTCTATATATTTTCATAAATTCTTAAGTAGTGTATAGCATAAATATAGATGAAAAATACCGAAGTCCCCCTCTATAAAACTCCTTAAGAGCATATAAGAGCATATATATATCGTTGAAAGTTTGTGAACGGACTATATAGAAAGTCAACTATAGATGACATGGTAATGTATAGCCTAATAGTAAGAGCTAGACAAGGCAAAGTTAATAACAGGCTGGATATAACTTGAGAAATGTAAAAATGCTCTTAACCCAAAAGATAGTTAGAATGAAGAACTCCGATTACAAATAGACTTAAAATCTTATTAGAAAAGACATTGCGATTTCAAATATCATCGGTTATAAAGAAACAACCGGGTATTGAATCATGCTATGTACTAGTATAGTGTCTCGGTCAAAATCGCGGTCTACGATAGATTATAAAACAATGTTTGAGCATTATATAAGAGAGAACTCAATGGGAAATTCGAAGTTACTCTCATTTTCAGAAAGAAAGGATATGAAAAAATAGAAAGGTGCTAAGTTAGGGCAAAATTACTTTCATCATGAATAGTAATTGATAATGGTGAGTCGTAAAATGAAGGGCGTCGCATACTTGTAAATCTGCATATCTTGCTAACTCTAGCTTCATTGTAACAAAGTTCAGTATCACCAGTTGAGGTGCTAGAAGACCGGCGATAAAAGTAACTACATTCCAAGAAACCCATCCAAAAAATACACACGCCTTAAGTTTGCATTAGCACTAATTCATACATCATAAGCAAATCCCCATGTTTTAACAGTTGATGATCAGTAAACTGGAAAAGCATAATTCTTTATAGAAAATTGTCAATATACGGAAATGTGCTACTTGGAGGCACCCTACAATCCTTATTGTTTACAGAAAATCCTAATTGGATTCGCTTATCTGTGGATTTTTGGCAGAGCATCTGGATTTAGTGGCCTATGATTTCCGCTTCTCAAGTTCGCCGCCTCATAACTTTGCTGTAGGCAGCACTAAGACTAGGCATCAGTACTTTAGTATAATCCGTAGCCATAATTATACACGTTATGAAGTCATCTAGGGTCTGAATATTTTTTTCTACATAACTTATCCTATCCACAACTAAAAGTGATACTCCCTTGTCTGCCGTCAAAGCTATTTGGTAATTTACTCAAAGCATCTTTTTGATATTAGTAAGACTTGCACTTTTATTTGGCTATCAAAAAGTAGAACAACCTATTACTCAATATAATTTCTAATCTCATTTAATAACCGATCAAAAAATTTGAGTCATCAATATTCCCTCAGCGTAGTTCTTTCTAGTTAGCAAAACATTATTAGAACCCATTGAAAGAACCTATTCGGTTGTAGCCTCGGATGATATTTTGGGCGGGTCAGCGACTTTCTGACCTAATCTATTTTTATGATTTTTCTTAGATGTTTAATGACTTAGACTCTAATCAGTTTTTTACCGCTCTGGTAAGCAGCTATCTCTCAAATCATTCAACATGACTCGGAGCATAATTCATCTGCAATATGTCCCTCGAGGACTAAGCGACGTAGCCACCGCATCGAGTCTTCCTGTTGAACAAATTAGAACATGTTATTAAAAGCAAATAATAATATTACAAAGCGAAGATATGAAGACTAAGTTGGTGTGGCCTTCTGTTTGGCCGCAGTCTCCTTTGGCCTTATAGTGTTGGTTCGACCTCGTTTTTGCAACTTTGTTGGAACGTCAGTCAGACCTTGTGCAGCGCATCTAGTCAGGAGTCCTCTATCAGAGTATTCATTATTTCCAGCCGACTACGATGCCGGCGAGACGCTTGGGAATGCGCCGATGCTGGAAATCACGAATACTATGGCAGAAGACGCATGATTAGGCACGTTTCACAAGGTCTTGCTGGTTCCCCAACCAAGTTGCGAAAACGAAGTCAGACCAGAAAATCCTTAGACCAGTGATTCCAAAACTGTGCGCTGCCGCGCCCCGGGGAGCCAAGGCCTCTTTACAGAGGCGTCGCGAAATATTGTAAAAGCTTCAAGTTGAGAAAATGTGCAGCGATTTGCAGGCTCATCCATCACATTAATTATTGAATATTAATTTTATGTTAAATGAGTAAAAAAAATAATAAAGATACACGAGTTCTATTTATTTTTATCTCTTACTTACGAATAATCATACTTAGGGTAGGGCCCCATGGAAAAATTTTAATTAAAAAAAGGGCGCTGCGACTAGGACAAGTTCGGGAACCACTGCCTTAGACTATGTAATGCTCCCCGCCGCTCTCCTGCTTTCGTGACCATCTGTGACAGAAAACTGCTGTTACGCCAACACCAAACCGCCATCAGCT